GTCGTTCGCATTGTGTAGCAACGTAGAAGGGTTTCTTCTGTATGAGCGTGCAATTTGAACCGAACGTTAACGTGCCATCCGACCAAAACCCTCGGAATCATGGCGCAGTTCTGCAGTCGTAATTGCAGTGTGTTTTACATCGACCGATGAAAACATGCGCGGTAAATACGCGTAAATGCCGCGCTAAATTCCGCAAACGGATGCTCAAAAAACAGCACGAATAGCGTATGAATGCACATGTGAGGTTAAAACACTCACAGTCTTACGTAAGTAAACCCGTCTGGATATATATATATAGTATACTTTTTTCCTTGGCAGCAGCAAGATAACCGTGACCGTGCCGGAGGGCTCACCATTCAGAAAATATCCGGAAAACGAAGAAAAAGGAGGGGGCGGCTATGGCTGGTCGTGCTCACCCGCCTGAAGAATGAAGGCCCAGAAGGCCTCCATCGCAGCAGCGCTACCGCCAGACACTGCGGCAGCCTTGGGTTTGGGGAGTTTCTTGGATGAGATAGAGTTGCGGTTGGGAGTCACGGAGAGGGATGCCAGTTCGACAAGCAGGTAAAAGATGGTTTATAGGCTTTCGTCTACTTTTTTGTTTGGGGTTTGAAGAACAAACCATCAGATCCGGGTCAATATCATCAGATTGCAGAGCTCAAGCCCCAGACAGCCTAGTTGGGAAGAGTAACATGTTTTTTTCAATGGCTGAATTGAACGCTCCGTTCCTTGCCCGCAAAACGATGCTTGGTCTTCCCAGCCAACCTCAGGCTCTTCACTCATGGTTTCACATACAGTACTGTATGCATGTATGCATATGTTTACTGTAAAAGAAACTCATTTTTTGACATCTTTGTAGGGCCAACCCACACTTGCGGAGACGGCAAGATCTGGGGCCGTGGTCAGCCTACAGCCAGCTGTCTTGGACGAAAGAAAGGGTGTCCCGCATGCAAGTCTCATCCGATCTGGATGTTTGTTTTGTTTGTTTTGTTTGTTTGTTTCCTCTACCGCTTTATACCGCTTAGCTCAACAATTCTTCCAGATTCTTCTTGGCATACAAGCCACATGAGTCACCACATGAGCCGAGGCTCGGACGAAGCTCGCCTCGCGGCTCGGTGGTGAGAGTGACTCGAAGGGAGGCGCTCCGATCGCTCCGTTCGCTTCGCAATGCCAGGGTCGCCCCGGCCGGTTCGTAGCTTCTGGTTCCTAGTAAGGCCAGGAGCCCTAGTGGCCCGTTCGTAGCGTCCGATCGCTCCTATGTCCTCATAGTACCTAGTCTCTTCCCAAGCTGGGTCATCATCCATTCCCATTCATTCTCCAAGCTGCATGGGCTTGCCTCAGGAGAGTGTCACGACGCCGCCACGAATTTCACGGCACTTCTTAGGGCCCTCAGAGCGTCAAACCTTCGAATAGCCTAAGCGAGCCTAAGAGGTTGAATGAGGGGCCTAGGTCGCAGGCTCTCGCGTGCATCGTGTGCTGTAATAGCGCTGCTAGAAGCGTTGCTAGGAGGAATTTTGGGCAGTGAGAGGGTGAATGCTTTGGATTTTCCACTTCAAGCAAATCTTTCACCCCAAGTCCACTAAAGAACAAAACAATGCTTGTGCTTGTGATGTTCAACCTTCACCACAGCACACGCAAAGTATACTTGTAGTATCTCTTGGTCATGGAACGGTGGAACGGTCTTGTTTTGGTACACGTGATTCGATGAGAAATACCCCACCAGGAGTTGAGCTCCACAATGAAGCGAATTCACTGGGCGAATTCGGCGCGAGACCGCGCGCGGCGATTCGCCCCGCTTCCCCTGAGGCAGGTTCGATGGATCTGACCGCAGGTGGCTCCGGAGCTGGCTCGGTCATTCCCTGATGGCCCAGGGGTGATGGGGCGATCACCCCATGTGCTTGTGTAGCTTGGGTAGGGTAAACATGAGCAAACAAACAGGACTATTACATATTGGTTGTTTGGACAACGACCCTGAATCATCCCCCCCCCAAAAAAGGATATTCTTGGAAGGATGATCATAAGCCAGAAGAGCCACAAAGAGTGCTGGATAGTTTGTCATCAACTGAGATTTTGCACGCTCACCGCCACCGCCACCTATACTTTCATTTCTTCCACCCTTCTTGTCTTGGCTCCCAAGTCCTTCCCTCAACCGCCAGTCGTACCAAGCCTGCTCTCTCCCATCCGCCAAAACTCTCGAAGCAGGCGAAGCCAACGACATGCAGTTGCCAGCTGCGACGACAGTTGCCAAGGCTCCGTTGCAGACAGTGTTGCTGCACACGCCTTGAGAGGCGTGTCGGACGTCCGAAGAACGGTTTCACCCGAACGGCGGTCGCCACGGTGCACGTCCGCGAAGACCGGGCCGCCGAACGAGGCGGGACCCGTCCTCGTGCAGCTCTCGGAGGGAGAGTCCTCCACTTCGGAGGAGACCGCTGAGAGCACCGGCGAGGCGGAGATTTTGGGATGATTTGGATGTGTGATCTTTATTTTTTTTGGGGGGGCGGCGGCCGGCGGCTGGTAGGTTTGGCCGAACCACATGCCCGAACGGAGCTGAGCCTGTCCCGCCATGTGCTGCGAACCGCATAGATGCCGTACGTCTCGGGCGTCCCCGTTCCTGGTCCACCAGAACCACCGCGTTCGTGCTGCCGGGAGATGATTCCGATACATTTCGTTCGCATACAAAGCTGGAGGAGGCCCATGGAGGCTTTAGGGGCCGTTTTTTGCTGACCGGTCTGCTCGCCATCAAGAACATCAGAGCGTGAGGTGAGCGGTCGTGAGGGGCATTAAGACTCGAATCGTCGAGCAATGGCTGGAGAAAAATGGCAGCAGCACAGGCTGATCATGTATACAACTATTATTTGGCTATGTGTTGGCATAACTTCTAGTTAGAAGTGCACTTGCGCGCCAGGCGCCGACTACATGCAGCCTACCTACACTCATACATACACAACATTACACAACATATGATACATATGGTCATACTTGCATATACACATGCATACACACCCACCCACCTACATCTACGCATGTAGATTTGAATCTCCATACATTGGACCGTGAGCTTCGAAGCTCTTTCCCACTTTTGTTTTACCACAAATCGTTTGGCTTGATGCGGTCAGTGGGTGGTTAAGCCGTACCAGAGTGGACATCCTCTCAATGCTCGAATGCTCCGCAGAACGTGTCCAGAGGTGGACACTTCTGTTTGTGTGGCCGCGGTTGCGGACGACGAGGAGCCTTGACCGGCCAGCACAAACTGAAACAGAGAAACGATTTGTGAACGTCCGCAGTGCCGGAGGGTCCATCTGTGCTGGCAAGGCCCCATCTGTGCCCCAAGCAGCTGCACGTGAAGCGACGGAGGAGGAGGCCGTGCCA